AAATAAAGTGGTGGAGGTGGAGGCTGCCATGGGAGGGGAGGGTGGTGGAGGTCGGGAAATTGTCGGAGTCCAGGGAAACTGTGCCGGGAATGTGTCAAAACCCAGATTCCTGGGCCACGTTTTGATCCACTTGCCTAGGATGGTGTCGGCAACCCACATTATTAACAAGCAACTTGAGGCCGGTGCTGCGGTTCACTAGGCTAATCCTCTGCGACGCCGGCACACCAGGTTCTAGTCCCGGTCGGGGCGCCGGATTCTGTCCCGGTTGCCCCTCTTCCAGGCCAGCTCTCTGCTGTGGCCAGGGAGTGCAGTGGAGGATGGCCCAAGCGCTTGGACCCTGCACCCTCATGGGAGACCAGGAGAAGCATCTGGCTCCTGGCTTTGGATCAGCGGGGTGCGCTGGCCACAGCGCACAGGCTGTAAGCGGCCATTGGGGGTGAACCAATGGAAAAGGAAGACCTTTCTTTCTGTCTCTCTCTCTCACTGTCCACTCTGTCCAAAAACAAAACAAAACAAGCAACTTGGGATTTTCAGGTAGACGGGGTGAGGCTTACACCTTGAGGAACGTGGTTTCCAATGTATTGGTTATTATCACATGAGAAATTACCCCACAGTTTAGCATCACTTTTTTAAAAAAAAGATTTATTTTATTTGGAAGGCAGAGTTAGAGAGAGAAACAGAGGGAGTTGGGGAAGAGACCTTCCATCTGCTGATTCACTTCCCAAATGGCCCCAGTAGCCAGGGCTGGGCCAGGAGCTTCATCCAGGTCTCCCGCCATAACACTGGCCCACAACTTAGCATCTTAGAAGCTGATAGATGGGCCCATGCTGTGGCTCGTGGGTTAAGCCACTGCTTGCAACTCTGGCATCCTGTGTAAGTAGTGGTTTGCGTCCCAGCTGCTCCGCTTCCAATCCAGCTCCCTGCTAATGTGCCTAGGAAAGCAGCAGAAGATGGCCCAAGTGCTTAGGCCCCTGCCACTCACATGGGAGACCTGGATGGAGTTCCAGGCCCCTGGATTTGGCCTGGTCCAACTCCAGCTGTTGTGGCCATTTGGAGGGATCCAGTGGATGCAATCAATCTCTCTCTCTCTCTCTCTCTCTCTCTCTCTCCCCCTCCCTCCTCCCTCCCCCCCTTCCTCGCTCTCTCTGTAACTCTGCCTTTCTAATAAAATCTTTTTAAAGAAAAGAAAGAATTTTATTATCTCACACAGTGTCTGTGGGCCAGAAGTCCAACAGAACCCAGCTGTGTGGTTCAAGCTCAGGGTCTCCCACGAGAGCATAGGCAGCTGTCAGCCAGGGCTCAGTCTCATTCTAAACACGTGTCTGGTGGGGGTGAGCATTTGGCACAGTGGTGAAGACCCTGCCTGGGATGCTCGCATCCCTCCTGGGAGTGCCTGGGCTTGAGTCCCTGCCCTGCTTCTGACTCCGGCTTCCTGTGGATGCACATTCTGGGACACAGCTGGCGATGGATTGAGAAGTTGGGTCCACACCACCCATTTGGGAGATCTGGACTGACCTCTGGGCTCCTGGCATGGTCTGGTCCAGCTCCAGCTGTTGCAGGTATTTAGAGAGTGAACCAGCAAAGGGAAGATCTTTGTCTGTCTGTCTGTCTGTCTGTCTGTCTCTCTTTGACCTTAAAATTCAAATTGAAGGAAAAAAAAAAACAGCTTGCTGGGGCTGGAGGACCACTTTCCAGATGGCGCACTCACACAGCTGGGTAGTTGGTCTTGGCGGTTGGCCAGAGGCCTCAGTTCCTTGCCGCATGGACCTCTCCATGGCTGCCTGAGTGCCTCCACCACACAGCAGCTGGCTTCACCCAGAGCGAGGGGTCCAAGGAAAGCAAGCAGAAGCAGCGATGTCTCTTACGGCCTGGCCTGGGAATTCACGTCACAGCCCTCCTACAAGAACCTCTGGGCTGCAAGTGTCAGCCTTGTTCAGTGTGAAATGTGGGTCCAGGGTCTGCAGGGTCCTGGGGCTACTGCACTCAGCTTCTCTTCACGCTGCCGCACGCGGTCAATGCTCTCAGCAGACAGTGGGCCATGAACCCAGCGTCTCTGCAGGGAGAGGAAGGGCTTGGTGAGGAATGGTTTGCGACCTCTGATTCCTCATCTGTCAAAGGGAGCTGGCTCCTGAGAGCCCCTCCTGGTTAAGAAAAGAAGCAGCTGTGACTCACACAACTGCATACATCTGTTAGGCTGAGATTCTGACTCCTGATTACAGGACTTCTGTCTGGGTGGGGTTGGGAGGCTCTGAAGTGAGTGCCCTCTTAGTGGAGAAAAGCAGTCCACTAACTGCTGGCTTGTGCCGTTTAGCATCTTGGGGTGGGTGTTGTGGCTCAGTGGGGTCAGCGGCTCCTTGGGATGCCCACATCCACCAACAGAGCACCTAGTTCAAGTCCCAGTTCTGCTTCTGATCCAGCTTCCTGCTCATGTGCACCCCGGGAGGCAGCAGGTGATGGCTCAAGTACGTAGGTCCCTGCCACCCACGTGGGAGACCTGGATGGAGTTCCTGGCTCCTGGCTTCCACTGGGCATTTGGGGAGTAAACCCCCAGATGGGAGTGCTTGTGTTTCTCTCTCTCATTTATTTTTTTTTTTTTTTTGTGACAGGCAGAGTGGACAGTGAGAGAGAGAGAGGCAGAGAGAAAGGTCTTCCTTTTGCCATTGGTTCACCCTCCAATGGCCGCCGCGGCTGGCGCGCTGCGGCCGGCGCACCGCGCTGATCCGATGGCAGGAGCCAGGAGCCAGGTGCTTTTCCTGGTCTCCCATGGGGTGCAGGGCCCAAGCACCTGGGCCATCCTCCACTGCACTCCCTGGCCACAGCAGAGGGCTGGCCTGGAAGAGGGGCAACCGGGACAGAATCCGGCGCCCCGACCGGACTAGAACCCGGTGTGCCGGCGCCGCTAGGCGGAGGATTAGCCTAGTGAGCCGCGGCGCCGGCCTCTCTCTCTCATTTAAAAATGAGATAAAGCATGCAGTGTGCTGGAAACACCTGTGGAGTGGCTGACCATGGATATTCTATAAATGCCAATCGCTTCCAGTGGTCTGGACTACAGAGCCCTGAGCAGACTTGCAATGGGAGTGGAGGGCACTCACCCAGCAGGGCTGAAGTGGTGTCTCTCAAAGTGTGGACTGCAGGCTCCTTGAAGGTATCCATAGCCCTTTCGGGGGTTACTGAGGTCAAGACCACGACACAGTTTGCCTTCCCTTCTCTCCTTCACTTGTGACTTACCCCAGATGTTTCCCAGGGCTTTCCAGTATCTGATTGGGTCGAGCTTCTGTTTTCTAACAGAATGTTTGCTCCTGCGCTCCCGGTTTTTACATGATTGGGGGTTGGAGGTGGGTGGTGGGGTTGATTACAGACAGAGGGGGATTTGAGGCAGAGGTGATTCTCTATTTGGATTGTGGTGTTGGTTACATGACCGTGTTTATCGAAACTCATGGAATTGTAGACTAAAAACAAGCAAACTTTGCCTTGTAAATTGTACTTTTATGTAAGGGGTCAAAAACAATTTCTCAATTTCAATTAATTTTAAATGGTTAGATAGAACTCACATGAACAAGAAAACAATTTCAAGGGATCCAGAGACAAAACACTTTGAGAATCACTGAGCTAATATGTTAATTTTTTTACTAAAGCAGTTGCAATTACTTGGTCTGGAATTGCAAAAGTGATTACGTGGAAAGGAAAAATCTCTTTGGTGCTAATGCTCCATCAGCAGTGCTGTCCAGTGGGTAGCCAGACACTGGCCACAGACGGAGCACATGAAAGGTACTGGGTGGTCCAAATTGAGACATACCTAGCACAAAAACATAGGGTAAATTATCTCATTGATATGACACTTTTTTTTTAAGATTTATTTTATTTATTTGAAAGAGTTACAGAGAGAGATAGAGACAGACAGAGAGGTCTTCCATCCACTGGTTCACTACCCAGATGGCTGCAAAGGCGGAGCTGTGCCCATCCAAAGCCAGGAGCCAGGAGCTTCTTCCAGGTCTCCCTCATGGGTGCAGGGGCCCAAGGACTCAGACCATCTTCCACTGCCTCCCAGGGTGTCCACCAGCAGGAAGCTGAATCGGAAGCACCGAGAAGCCAGGACTGGAAGCAGACACTCAGAGTTGCAGGCGTCCCGGGTGACAATGTAACCACTGCACCGCACGCCTATTCCCAGTAAAACACGGTTAAGAGGTTCACCTCTTGCTTGAGTCTGGCTACAATTTTAATCACCTGAGTGGGTCTCATTCTATTTGTTTTGAACATCTTTGTTCTGCAGACGCAGACTTGACGGATCTCACAGCTCCCTAGGCACTCTCGAGCTGTGTCCAGAGACTTGATACTTTTCCAAATGTCCTGGGCTTCCTGGGATGTGAATGTGGGCGATGCTGTGGTCGGTGTGAACAGTCCATGTGAATAAGGGGCGTGCCATGTTAGCAGTACCCCGGCACCCAAGCCAGCAGTAAGCGTGGCGGCTACGATCGCCGCGGGTGCCCTGCTGATGCTGTCAGAGACGCGCCACCGCCATGGCAGGCCCTCCCTCTCCATCCACTTCCGCTCTGACCACAGGAACAACTGAACGTGCAAGACCTCACCTTTGAAAAGTGGCCTCCCTCTCCACACTGAAAATCTCAAACCATGGCCCAAGGTCCCTCTTCGGAGCGCTGTGTCTGGGCAAAATCTAAACGAGGAGGACCCGAGGGTCCCGGACCTCCCTTAGCAACCGACGCCGGCGCCCGTTGCTAAGGGGAAGGTAGAACCAGGTCGTGGTCCGTCAGCTATTGGTCTCCGGTGGTAGCTACTTCCGGTCCTCACGGGGAGGGGGGGCGTGCGTCCGTTGGCCTACCTTCCCCCGAGGATCTGGGACGTGGCCGTGGGTTCCGCCGCCTGGGGAGCCCTGGGAGGCTTGGAGCCCTAGGAGCCTTCGGGTCCGGCGGCAGCGGTCGCGGCGGGGGCGGCAGCGGGCCTCAGGCTCGGCCGCAATGCTCAGTTCCCGGGCTGGGGCGGCGATGACCGCAGCTGACAGGGCCATCCAGCGCTTCTTGCGGACCGGGGCCGCAGTCAGGTGAGCTTTGGGGGCGGGGCGGCCGGAGAGGCCAGGATCGGGGTGCCCAGCCGGGCCTCTGCCGGCCTTCTCACGCCCCAGTCGGGGTCCGCAGGCCCGAGGGGGTGCTCCGGAGACGTCTGCGTCCAGCAGGGTCGGGGGCCCGGGACCGAGGCGGAAAGGACGCAGGCCTCTCGGGGCCTCCAGCAGCCCCAGTTCTGTCTGCGTTCCTCGGGAAGGAAAGTCAGCCCCCGACCCGCGCCGTGAGCCAGGGTGGGCCCCAGCACCCCCAGGGCCACGGGTCCTGTCAAAGCCCGAATTCTGACAGTGCTGCCCGTGCCCCCACCCCCCACCGCCCAGAGACTGCCAGGACCCCACAGTCCTTTGGGGGGACCCCAACCCTTCTGTCCCCCTCCCTGCCCCAGCCAGGGTCCCCCGGTCTGGCCAGGCTCTCCAAGCCGGCCTGGAGGCTCGCTATCCCGCGCGGGGCTCCTCCCCACAAGCCCCTCCCCTGTTGTCGCTGTCAGAGCCTGCGACCCCCTCCTTCTGTTCACTGCCTCCCCCCACCCCAGGGCTGGGCAGAGCTGAGCACCAGGCCCCCGCTGCCCACCCTGAATGGCTGAGACCTGTTGCAACACGTGGATCCGCCTCCTCTGGAACTGGAGCAGGGCTAACGCACCCATTATCCCAGGGCTGGGCGCCCCCGAGGCTGTCCTGCCCAGGGCCCCCATTCTGTGCGTGGGGAATGGCTTTGAGGCAGCCTGGCCTGAGCCCCCCTAAGCTCAGCTGGTGGCATGGCCGGGAGGAAAAGCCAGCTGACGCCTCGCCCAGCCCCCCTCCCCCCCTGTCATTTTGCTAACGACTGGAGCTTCCTGGGTTTTGCCCGCCGGCCAGTCCTGCCTCCAGTCCCATTCCTCCACCTCCAGGACTGTAAGCACGGAGTGGCGAGCCGGACCCCGCGTGGTTTCAGGCCGTGTCCTCTGACGCGCTGTGACCGGCTTGGCCTTGGCTCTGAGTTTGAATCCGCGGGTGGTGGTGGCAGCCGCCTCGTGGGTTGTTGTTTGCAGAAAGAGATGACGGGGTCACAGTGCCTGGCTCGGGGTGCGTGTGCGTGAACACCTGTGTTTGATGAGAGGGTTTTGAAGCAAAGTGCCCTAGCCCTGCAGGGACAGAATTCTTCAACCTTGCTGGGGACTTCTGGGAGTGTGTGTTGCGTAAAAGCACAGTGATGCAGTGAGAAACCCCACAAGTGGCTTTGATGGGTGAACTGGAATGAGAAGCCTTCCTAATACAGCAGCTAATGTTTGCTAAGCTCTTACCCCCAGCCTGTGCGTCAGGCCTGGTCCGTCCCCACAGCGTCCCTCCGATTGTGCCCATTGTAAAGATGGGAAGCGGAGGCTTAGGGGGCGAAACAGCAAAGATTGAGCCAGATTCATGTGACTCCACTTTCTTCCTCTTCTTTTTAAAATATTTATGTATTTTATTTGGAAGGAAGAGTTAGAGAGAGAGAAGGAGAGACAGAGATCTTCCATCTGCTGGTCACTCCTCAAATGGCTGCAACAGCGGGGGCTGGGCCAGGCCAAAGCCAGGATCCTGGAGCTCCATCAGTGTCTCCCCCATGGGTCAGAGGGGCCGTCCTCTGCTGCCTTCCCAGGGGCATTAGCAGGGAGCTGGATCGGGAGTAGAGCAGCCGGGACTCGAACCAGCATCCACGTGGGATGCTGGCGTCCCAGGTAGCAGCTTAACCTGCTGTACCACAAGGGCGGCCCCTGACCCCACTTTCCTACCAAGTTCTGTACAAAATCTATTGATTCTGTCTTAGAAGCACAAAAATGTGTTTGAAATTCAGTTACCAGCTATGACACGAAAAAATGTTGATTGGTGTAAGGGAGAGCCACTGTGATGTCCAGTGACTCTTGGCTGACCTGAGGTCAAAGCCAAGGTCACGTGATCCAGATCCTGGTATGAGGACGTGCTTTGGCTAACTTGGCGGAGGCACTTAACTTTAGAAAAACTGTGTACTGAAAGAATGACTTCAGTGTTCAAGCCTGGAATCAAGAAATCTTTAATTTTTTAAGCACTCATAAGACCCTTTATTGTATACCCTCTCCATGTTTAATATTCTAAAGGAGTTCCTTTTTTTTTTTTTTTTAAAGGTTTTTACTTGAAAGGTAGAGTTACAGAGAGAGAAGAGACAGAGAGAAAGAGAGAGATCTTCTGTCCGCTGGTTCACTCCCCAAGTGGCTACAACAGTTGGAGCTGGGTCAGGCTAAAGCTAGGAGCACAGAGCTCCATCAGGGTCTCTCACATGGTCGGCAGGGACCCAAGTCGTTGGGCCACCTTCTTTCCTCTTCCCACGCACATTAGCAGGGAGCAGGATCAGAAGTGGAGCTGAGGCTGGTGCTGCGGCTCACTAGGCTAACCCTCCGCCTGCGGCGCCGGCACCCCGGGTTCTAGTCCCGGTCGGGGCACTGGATTCTGTCCCGGTTGCTCCTCTTCCAGTCCAGCTCTCTGCTGTGGCCCAGGAAGGCAGTGGAGGATGGCCCAAGTGCTTGGCCCTGCACCCTCATGGGAGACCAGGAGAAGCACCTGGCTCCTGGCTTCGGATTGGCGCAGCGCACCAGCCGTAGTGGCCATTTGGGGGTGAACCAACGGAATGAAGACCTCTCTCCTCTCCTCTCTCTCTCTCTCACTAACTCTGCCTGTGGGGCGGGGGGAAGTGGAGCTGGATCAAAAATGGACTCCAACTGGCACCCATGTGGGATGCCAGCATTACAGGCAGTGGCTTAACCTGCTGTGCCACAGTGCCAGCCCCTAGAATTCCCTTTCTACAGAGAACCCACTAATTGCCAGGCAGAGATACGTCATTGAATAAAACAGACAAGTCCGCGGCCCTCAGAGACAGTGAATCCAGTTGAGAGAGATGGACCACAGACAGGGGAGCAGTGACCTTGTGTGAGAAGGGGGTGAGTGGAACTGGGTACAGCACAGGGCTCCGGATCCCAGGAGCGGAGAAGGCAGGTGCAGGAGCGAGCCAAGCCGGGGGGGAGAGCATTCCGGGCAGCCCGGGACTTGAACGCTGGCTGGCGTGGCGTCCGGCGTGCAGGGGGTGGGAGGCCGAGCAGGAGGGCGAGGCTCTGGGAAGGTCGGGCTCCCACTCACGTTTCAATCCTGAAGCCGTGGCGTCCATTCGTGCAGCCGCCCGGTCAGCGGACGTCAGCGGGAGGCCGGGTCCTTGGTGGGGGTTTTGCCGCCTGTGCCGTCCTTGCTGGTGTCCGTGCGTTCGCGTGCAGCGTTCGGGATGCGGGCAGCTGGTAAGCGCGCTTTCTTTTTCAGGTACAGGTCATGAGGAACTGGGGCGTTCTGGCGGCATCGCCGCGGCCCTCCGCGGCGGCATCTACGTCATCTGGGGGCCGTGACCGAAGAAAGAAGCGCAGGAAAGGTAGGAGGGGCCGCGCGGGGCGAGCGCAGCCGGACCCAGGCCCTGCCGTCGCCCCTGCGAGGGCGCTGCGGGGGCTCCCGGTTCCCTCTCGGAGCTGGCCAAGCCCACTCAGGAGCCCACTGTGGTGGAGGGATTTCCACCTGGGGCCCCGCTGGGCTGGAGGTGGCGCATGCGCCGTCGGTGGCGCCTTGCCTGCTGTCGTGGACGTGGAATTGTGTCTTCCGTGCTTGCGTCTGCCTGCTCTGACCAGCTGCTAGTCACGGGGAAGCTCCCGCGTTAGGGTCTTCATTAATAATAATTTTTAAAAAACTTTTAAAAAATGCTCGCTTTATAAACATATTTTTTTAAAAGATTTATTTATTTATTATTTGAAAGTCAGAGTTACATAGAGAGAGGAGAGGCAGAGAGAGAAGTCTTCCATCCGATGGTTCACTCCCCAGATGACTGCAACAGCCGGAGCTGGGCCGATCCGAAACTAGGAGCCAGGAGCTTCTTCCAGGTCTCCCACGTGGGTGCAGGGGCCCAAAGACTTGGGCCATCTTCTACTGCTTTCCCAGGCCACAGCAGAGAGCTGGATCAGAAGTGGAGCAGCCGGGACTAGAACCTGCACCCATATGGGATGCTGGCACCACAGGTGGAGGATTAACCTACTACGACATGGCGCCGGCCCCTATCTATTTATTTCAAAGATTTATTTATTTATTTGAAAGGCAACAGAGAAGCAGAGAGAGAGAGAGAGAGAGAGAGAGAAAATCTTCTATGCTGGTTCACTCCCCAGATGGCTGTAATGGCCAGATCTCTCATGTGGGTACAGAGGCCCAAGCACTTGGGCCATCTTTCACTGCCTTTCCAGGCCATAGTAGAGAGCTGGATTGGAAGTGGAGAGGCCGGGACTCAAGCCAGTGCCCAGTTGGGATGCCAGCACTGCAGGTTGTGGCTTTACGTGCTATGCCACAGTGCCAGCCCCAGAACTTTTATAATAAGAGAGTTTTTTTAGAAAGATCTTCAGTAGTAGAGGGACGTGTGTCAGATCTCATTTGTCCCTGCAGAAAGTCTGATCAGAATGGGTACAATGGTGTCTCTCTCAGTGATTACTTTTTTTAGCTTATAAAATATATTTTGACAGTTATCATTCATAAACAATCATTGACAAAGACACAAACTGGACTCATTTATTGTCATTCTTTGTGGGATGTTTACAGTACAGTTCCAATTTTTTTGAGAACAAAGAAACAGAAATACAGGAGTTCCTTTTGCAGAGCATCCTTTGAACTCCTGACCATCATTTATAGAAGAGAATTTAGGGGCTGGCACTGTGGTGTTGCGGGTAATGCTGCCACCTGCGGTGCCGGCATCCCATATGGGCGCCAGTTCGAGTCCTGGCTGCTCTACTTCCGATCTAGCTCTCTGCTGTGGCCTGGGAGGGCAGTGGAAGATGGCCCAAGGGCTTGGGCCCCTGCACCCGCATGGGAAACTTGGAAGAAGCTCCTGGCTCCTGGCTTTGGATCAGTGCAGCTCTGGCCATTGCGGCCAATTGGGGAGTGAACCAGCAGATGGAAGACCTCTCTCTCTGTCTCTCTTTCCTCTTCCTCTCCTTTTGTCACTGGGTAACTCTTTCAAATAAATAAATAATCTTTAAAAAAAAAAGTTTACCTCTCAAAATCAAATGAATGTAAAAAAAAAAGAATTTAGGTAGAGTTTTAAAACCTTGAAAGTTAACTCTGCCGGCGCCTCGGCTCACTAGGCTAATCCTCCGCCTATGGCGCCAGCACTTTCGGGTTCTAGTCCCAGTCGGAGCGCCAGTTCTGTCCCGTTGCCCCTCTTCCAGGCCAGCTCTCTGCTGTGGCCCGGGAGTGCAGTGGAGGATGGCCCAAGTGCTTGGGCCCTGCACCCCATGGGAGACCAGGATAGTACCTGGCTCCTGGCTTCGGATCAGCGCAGCGCACACAGCCATGGCAGCCATTGGGGGGTGAACCAACGGAAGGAAGACCTTTCTCTCTGTCTCTCTCTCACTGTCTAACTCTGCCTGTCAAAAAATAATAATAATATACGACAGTCAACTCTAAAAGTTTCAGACCATGCTGAGGAGGCCGCCCACCTTGCGGGTCGGGTGTGTTCTCTCTGTCGAACCGTGGGAGCTGTGTCCCCAGTGCAGACCAGGGGCTCCCAGTGTGGGCGCAGTGAGGACGACGGCGCGGTCCTGTCAGACCAAGGGGATGGTGTGCTCTGCCCTGAGGAGCTCGGCTCGCTTCTGAAGGATGGGGAGGCGGCAGGTGCCAGGGAACCGCAGGCGGCAGTGAGTGCTCGTTCACTCACATCCTGGCTGAGCTGCCGTGGAGGCCACGACGTGTGTCAGAGATCACAGCGACCTCTCCTGCTGTCCCTCCCGGTCTACCGGGGCAGCACCTGCAGACCAGGCCTGGCCCCCAGGCCCCTGTGGACGAGACCCTGCCCCCGTCCCGCGTGACGTGCTCCTCCCTCCTGCCCCCTGCTCTTCTTTCAGGGCTCGTGCCGGGCCTGGTCAATCTGGGGAACACCTGCTTCATGAACTCCCTGCTGCAAGGCTTGTCCGCCTGCCCCGCCTTCATCAAGTGGCTGGAGGAGTTCACCGCCCAGTACGCCAAGGAGCAGGAGGAGCCGCCCCCACACCAGTACCTGTCCCTGACCCTGCTGCGCCTGCTGAAAGGTACCGTGCCGGGGGCTCACGGGGGTTGGGGGCGTCCAGGGTGACGGCAGGTGAGGGTGGAGTTGGGGGTGTCGGCAGATGGAGTGGTGAAGTTTGGGGGGGATGGCAGGTGAGGGTGGAGTTGGGGGTGATGGCAGGTGAGGGTGGAGTTGGGGGTTCCTTGGGTGACGGCAGGTGAGGGGCTCGTCAGTAGCCTTTGGTAGAATAAGATCATACAGAGCGTCACAAAAAAAACCCCCAAAGAGCTCAGTAGATAGCAACAGGCATTTAAAAAAAACATCAAAGAAAGATCCATTTACTTAAGAATGGTTTAATAGCAGCTGTTTAAGGAGGGGAAAGCTCGCTGCCACACAGACGCGGTGCTGTAAGACGCACACAGGTTTGGACAACATTTCAGTTAGAGAGAGGGGAGCTCCGCTGAGACGCAAGGCTGTCAGAGAGGCGTTCCCCACGGCCGGCCGGGCACTCGGTGCAGCCTCCGTGAACCTCACCAGAGAAACACAGAGAACATCAGACTGCCATTTTCGGGGCCCGTCAGCAAAGGTTCAGCACCAATCCGGGCAACTCCCTGTGCTGCTGGGGGTGTCACTGAGTGCAGTCTCTCGGGGAGGCAGCCTGCTGCTCGCGACCCCACATCTGAGACCTGGCGCCTGGAGATAGTTAGAAACACAGGCCCGCGATCTGGCGTCCCGGAAGCAGCCCCCCCTGGGGACTGGCTGATACTGGCCCCGACTCGGGTGTATCTTGCCTGGGAAGGTCTGAGGGAGCCCCTCGTGGGCCTTCTTTGTAGATCACTTTTCTGACCGTGGGAGTGGCGTGTTTTCCCTGGGATCTCTGCTGCCATCCGTGGGCATCATGCAGCACACTACATGCATGGTGTGTGACCGCTGCTTGGGGTGTTCCCCGCGCCCCACCCCGAGGGGGAGCGGCGTGCATGGCCAGCACAGGACGGGAGGAGCCGAGGCCCGCAGCTGCTCAGAAGCATTTTAGGGACGTTGTTTTTGTTTTTGCTTTTTAATTTGGGAGGGGCGTGGGCTGCAGAGTACCAAGTTGAAAAGACGCTCACAGCCAGAGCCTGTCAAAAAAAAAAAAAAAACAAAAAAACCTGGATGTAAAAAACACCCAGCTGAGTGTTGCTTCATGAAGGAATTCCGCTATGTGACCTCTGTGTGACCTTGGCACAGACCTCTTCCTGAAGCAAGTGTGCCCCTCTGCAAAAGTGGTGACTTGAGGATAGTATCTTTTACTGTGAAAGAAAGAAAGAAAGAAAGAAAGAAAGAGAGAGAGAGAGAGAGAGAGAGAGAGAGAGAGAGAAAGAAAGAGAGAGAGAGAGAGAGAAAGGAAAGAAAGGAAAGAAACGAAAGAAACCACTCCACAGACCGTGTGCAAAGCTGTCCACGTGAGGTCCTCGTGCAAACTGAGGGTTGCTTAGCCTTGACCTCCGGGCTCACCTGTGTGAACGAGGAGTATTCCAAAAGCTCGTGGGGAATGTGGAATTAAAACGCAGGGTGGGCTGGGCGTTGTGGCGCGGGGTTGGTTGAAGCCTCCACTTGGGGCACCTGCATTCTGTGTGGAGGGCCTGGGCAGTGAGCGCTGCCTCTGGCTTCCCATCCGCTTCCTGCCAACGACCCTGGAGGCATGGGTGGTGGCCACCCACGGGGAGACTCAGTGCAGCTCCTGGCTCAGTCCAGCGCTGGCTGTTGTGGCCTTGAGGGATTGAACCAGTAGATGCAAGATTTCTCTCTCTCTCTCTCTCTCTCTCTGCCTTTCAAATAAATAAATAAATAAACCTTTTAAAAATGTTTTTAAAGATGTTTATTCTTGTGCAACTTTTTAAAAATCCTGCAGTTTTTTCACAATACACATTTCTTACAACCTGTGAAGAACCTTTGCGTAAATCATTTCAGAATTTTTTGTGCCAAATAAGCCAACTTTTAAATCCATTTTTCCAGTAACTCTTTGAAGTTTCTCATACGCTTCCTTCCCTACTTCTGCTCTCTTTCTTTTTAAGATTGATTTATTTGCAAGAGCAACAGAGAAACAGAAATCTTCCATCTGCTGGTCCATTCTCCAAATGTCTGCAACAGCCGAGTGTGGGCCAGGCCAAAGCCAGGAGCCATGAACTCCACACTGGTCTCCCACATGGGCAGCAGGGCTCCAAGTACTTGGGCCGTCCTGCACCGCTCTCCGAGGTGCATCAGCAGGGATCTGGATCAGAAGTGGAGCAGCCGGGATTCAAACCGGGGCCCTTACGGGATGCTGGTATCCCAGGCATGTGGCTTTACCCATTATTCTGCAGCGACAGCCCACTATTTCGTCATTTTAGAAATAATTTTTAATTATACGTGTAAGACACGAATAAATCGTCTTCGTGGGAACTTGAAGCACTTGAGGGCGAGCGTGTGGTGCAGCAGCTACGTACCTGCTGTGCGTCATTCGTGTTCCTTTTTGTGAGCTCATCCGTATGCGTGTTTTCATCTGTGAATTGCTTCCTTATGTCCTTTGCCCATTTAAAAACTGTGCTCAAGTATCCATAATGTGAAAGTTGCCGTTTTAAAACAGTTTTAATTTTTTTTAAAGATTATTTACTTATTTGAAAGTCAGTTACATAGAGAGAGAGAGATTTTCCATCCACTGGTTCACTCCCCAGTTGGCCGCAACAGCCAGAGCTGCACCAATCCAAAGCCAGGAGCCAGGAGCTTCTTCCAGGTCTCCCACACAGGTGCAGGGGCCAAAGACTTGGGCCATCTTCTACTGCCCTCCCAGGCCATAGCAGAGAGCTAGATCGGAAGTAGAGCAGCCAGAGTCTCGAACCAGTGCCCATATGGGATGCCAGTGCTTCAGGCCAGAGTATTAACCCACTGCACCACAGCGCTGGCCCCAACCAGTTTTAAATTAATACCACAGTGCAGGGGTATTGAGTGCAGTCACAGTGTGGTGCATCCATCAGCGCATCCCCCCTCCCCCAAGCTGCTGTTCGTCAGCCCCTAGCGAAGCTCAGTGCCCCCGAAACACACGCTCCCGAGTGCCTGAAGCACTCTTCCACTTTTTATCTCAGTGAGTTTGGAAATTGTACAATAGGCCGGCACCGCGGCTCACTAGGCTAATCCTCCACCTTGCAGCGCCGGCACACCGGGTTCTAGTCCCGGTCAGGGCGCCGGATTCTGTCCCAGTTGCCCCTCTTCCAGGCCAGCTCTCTGCTGTGGCCCGGGAGTGCAGTGGAGGATGGCCCAAGTGCTTGGGCCCTGCACCCCATGGGAGACCAGGAGAAGTACCTGGCTCCTACTATCGGATCAGCGCGGTGCACCTGCCGCGGCGGCCATTTGGAGGGCGAACCAACGGCAAAGGAAGCCTTTCTCTCGGTCTCTCTCTCTCACTGTCCACTCTGCCTGTCAAAAATATATATATATAATATATAAAAAAAGAAAGAAATTGTACAATAGCTTGTCATTTTCTTTTTTTTTTTTTATTTTTGACAGGCAGAGTGGACAGTGAGAGAGAAGAGACCGGAGAGAAAGGTCTTTCCTTTGCCGTTGGTTCACCCTCCAATGCCGCCGCTGCAAGCCGGCGCACCGCGCTGATCCGCTGGCAGGAGCCAGGATCCAGGTGCTTTTCCTGGTCTCCCATGGGGTGCAGGGCCCAAGCACTTGGGCCATCCTCCACTGCACTCCCTGGCCATAGCAGAGAGCTGGCCTGGAAGAGGGGCAACCGGGACAGAATCTGGCGCCCCGACCGGGACTAGAACCCGGTGTGCCGGCGCCGCAAGGTGGAGGATTAGCCTATTGAGCCACGGCGCCGGCTCAATAGCTGTCATTTTCTGAGTGGATTATGTCATGTGACATAATACCCTCCCACATCGCAGCCCCTGTGGGAGCTCTGTTCCTTTCTAAGGCAGGATACTGTTCCATCGTGTGTGGACACGGCGTTTTGTCTGTCCGCTCATGGGGCAGAGGACACGTGGGTGGTATTCACCCCGGCTGCTGTGACGCGCGCTGCTGCAGGTGTTGGTGTGCGCACATCTGTTGGAGATCCAGCTTAGTTCTTTGGGGTGCATCCCAGGAAGTGGTGTCACTGTATCACAGGTTCGTGCTGTGTGATGAGGCCGGGCACTGCATGAGGGCTCTGGGGTCTGCACCTCCCCGATGCTTGTTCCAGGTCCTGGTGCGTGTGAAGTGATATCTCCTCGTGGTTTCCATCTGTGTGTCCCTAACAGTAAGAGGCACTGAACACTTTTTTTCATGTGCATATCTACCATTTCTGATCTCTCTTGGCTCTCTCTCTTATTCAAGTCCCCTGCCCATTGAATTGGGTTGTTTGGGGTTTTCTGGTGTTGGGTTTTAGGAGTTCTTTGTATATTCTGGATATTAATCCCTTCTCGGATGTTCGTAAGGGATTTGTAAACCTCATTGTCCTTACAGCTGCACATTGTTGTACACGCCCCCTTGGGCAGGTGAGCACCTGTTTCTACACGGTAGATTCTGGAAAAGTCACGTGGTTGCATCATAGGCTGGGAACGTGTTAGTGGACATTGCCACAGCGCCCTGTGTGTGCTGGACAAAACTGGGTTAAAGGAGGTGTCGGGCCAGCACCGCGGCTCACTAGGCTAATCCTCCCCCTTGCGGCGCCGGCACACGGGTTCTAGTCCCGGTCGGGGCGCCGGATTCTGTCCCAGTTGCCTCTCTTCCAGGCCAGCTCTGCTGTGGCCAGGGAGGCAGTGGAGGATGGCCCAAGTGCTTGGGCCCTGCACCCCATGGGAGACCAGGAGAAGTACCTGGCTCCTGCTATCGGATCAGCGCAGTGTGCCGCCCGCAACGTGCCTGCCACGGCGGCCATTGGAGGGTGAACCAACGGCAAAGGAAGACCTTTCTCTCTCTCTCTCTCTCTCTCTCTCTCTCACTGTCCACTCTGCCTGTTAAAAAAAAAAAAAAAAAAAAAAAAAAGGAGGTGTCACAGTTTCCCCTGGGACGGAGAACCCCAGAAGAAGGGCTGCCTGAGGGGTGAGGGAGAAAGGCAGGCACAGCCCCTTTCCCAGTTCTGCCTTCTTTGTTCTGGGGGGCGGAGGGCCAGTCCCAGGCTATAGCTGCACCTGTGCGGCCAGACCCAGGTCTTCCCAGCACTGCTGCCTGGATCTCTGCTTCCTCTCCGGCCACTGCCCGGGCCACTGGCCTTGCTCAGAGGTGGGGGTGGGCCAGGCGGGGACTGGCGGTGTTCAGACCCTCCGGAGCCTGCGGCCATTAAGGGTCTTTCAGATTCTCTGAAGTCAGAGAAGGCACAACCTGGCCTGCTCTTTCTGGAGTCACTGAGCTTCGAGAGTCCCCTGAGATAGCAGGCTCCTGCTTCTGTCTGTCCCACACGCTGCCCTCTGAGAGCAGGTGGTCAAGAGCAGCAGCCGGCCCACCAGTCCACTGCCGCAGCCCACCACCTGTTTTGTACATAAAGTTTCTTTAAAAAAAAAAAAAAAAAGATTTGTTTATTTGAAAGGCAGAGCACAGGAGGAGACAGAGAGGGAGAGATCCGCTGGTTTACAGCCCACAACAACCAGGGCTGGGTCAGGCGGACCAAGGAGCCTGGGTCTCCTGTGTGAGTGGCAGAAACCCAGGCACTAGGGCCGTGGTTGCGGGCTTTCCAGGCGCATTGGCAAGAAGCTGGATCAGAAGCAGGGCAGCCAGGACTGGGACTGGCACTGCGATTTGGGGTGCAGGCCTTCTGCGGCCGCACCACAACACCGGCCCTGTCCGTGTGGTCTCACGGGCACTCAGCCATGCCTGTTTGTTCAGTGTTGCCTGCACGGAGAAGTTGCGGCAGACACTGGCCGCAGAGCCCCGGGTGTGGGCTGGCCAGCCTTTTGGGGAGGAGCGCCAGGCCTGCTCTCTGTGACTGTAGTGGACATGCACGAGCCCAGCAGAGTGGGCTTGGTCCTGCTCGGGGCCGAAGGGCAGCCTCTCGGCAGGCCCTCTGAGTTCCACACGCAGTTCCGTGCTTTCCTATGACCAGAAACAGAAATGTGAGCAAACGCAAACCGAGGCCGCTGGTGTGAGGCGGTGCTGGGGAGCGGAGCTCAGCTCTGCCTGTGGGGTCAGACCCGATGACAGGGCCCCTGAGGGCTGGGAGTTAAAGGCACTGCACTCGGTAAGGGCCTTGCAGCCGTAATGTACTGACGATGACAGTGGAAGATCCACTCGCGGATGGTGCTGTGGTGCAGCCGGTGATCCGCCACTGTGATGGCTGCGTCCTACATCCGAGTGCTGGCGTGAGGCCCGGCTGCTTCACTTCCGATTGCCTCTCTGCTAATGTGGCTGGGAGGCAGCAGAGGGTGGTTCAGGTACTGGGTCCCAGCCACCCATGTGGGAGACCTGGCCCGGCCCCGGCTGTGTGGGCATCTGGGGAGTGGACCGTGGATGGAAGATACCTCTCTCTCATTCTGCCTCTTAAGTCAATCAGTCTTTTTTGTTTATTTTTGAAGATTTATTTTATTTCTTTGGAAGGCAGAGAGAGAGAGAAGAGACAGGGATCATCTACTGGTTCACTTCCCAGATGGCCTCAACAGCCAGGCCTGCGGCAGGCCAAAGCCAGGAGCCAGGAGCTTCTTCTGGGTCTCCCATGTGGTTGCATGGGCCCAAACACTTAGACCATCCTTTGTTGCTTTCCCAGGTACATTAGCAGGGAGCTGGGTCAGAAGTGGAACAGCCAGGACTTGAACTGGCTCCCATATTGGTTTGTCAGTGCTGCAGGTGGGGGCTTGAACCCACGAGCCTCAGTGCTGGCCCCTCAATCCTTTTTAAAAGAGAGAAATTCCACCCATTCACCAGAGGTGAAGACCCGAGGGAGGACTGAGTGTCAGACGGGACGACAGGGGCCCGGATGCAGGGGAGCTCCTCCCAAGGTGAGCTCCAGGCCCTCAGTCTTCAGCTTACTTCGGCGGGTCACACTGTGCACGCTTTCTGGTTGGTCATGGTGCTGCTGAGTTTGATAACTGTCGTACCCTCTTCTTTGCAGCTCTGTCCGGCCAGGAAGTTACTGACGATGAGGTCCTGGATGCAAGCTGCCTGCTGGATGTCCTTAGAATGTACAGGTGGCAGATCTCTTCCTTTGAAGAACAGGTGAGTCAGCAGTCGGCCGGGCATAGCCAAGAAAATCCTTTGTCCTGGCGACTGGGGGCCTGGCCTGGCTGCAGATTTCTGTGCTGTGTTGGACAACACCGAATGCTCCCAGCTCCCGGCGCCTCCTCCCAGCCACCTGGACAGGACAGTGTTCTCCAGCTCTGTGAGGGCGTCCTCTGCTGCTGCCGACCAGGCAATGACCAGGGCCGTGGCCCTCGAGCCTCCCAAACTGTGGGGCTGCAGTGGTGGTGGGGCTTCCCAGCTCCCATTCCCTTGTTCTGCCTTGCTCTGAGCCATGTCGCGTGTGAGAGCTGTACTTTTCTTAGAAGATAGCCTGCTTGCCCAGTTGGATGCTGGGAACACACATTCTAACCCCTCCCCCTAGTGCATTCCCCATTTCTCTCCACTGAGAGAAGGGCTTTTGCCCAAGTCCCACCCTCCATCACAGACCCAGCACATAGAGCTGTTTTGGCATCTCCAGCCCCAGCAGCTGCTGAGCCATGGAGTGTGCAGTGTGCAGCACGCAGAGCGTGGCATGGCTGGCTTTGCTCTCGTCCAGCCTGGGCCTCGTCCGCAGCTCGGGCAAGTGAAGGGATTTGCCTAAAGCCACATAGCTGTTTCAGCAGCAGGGCCAGTAGTGCAGCGCATCCGCTCCAGCTCCGCCCCCTTCTGTCCCACTGCCCCTTTCCCAGGCCAAGTAGGTAGGTGTGACTGATGGGATAGGCACGGGTCTGACTCTTCCTTGTCTTGGGACTCGCTCCAAAGGTGGGTCC